GTCCATTGTTATATTTCCAGCAATCCTGACATAGCACCAGGGGCCCTCAGAGTCACCGTCAGGATTTCGGCACTTGTTGGTCTGCAGCTGAACTTCAGGGATGAACTCTTTGTCCCGACTGAGGGTTTTTACCTCCGGTAATGACCATGGCAGGCAGGTGTGACCTCCTATGGTAACACTTAGGTCCCCATTATATTCTATACCATAATTAGGCAAGCACACTATAGGTTTCTGTGGTTTCGTTGCCACAGTGGGTGGGACAAAGTCTTCACCTTTAACCAAAAAAAAAAAAAAAAAAAAGATCAGCTGACAGAACTTGGAGCTCAAACTACAGAAAAATATAATCCTAAATTGTATATGAGCCCTGAAACACTCCAGGATGTAAGAAGAGTCTGTGGAAGAAATTCAGTGAGTTCTGAGCAGCTCATGTTAGGTGCCGACATGGCTTTCCAACATTACTAGTACAAGAGTGTCAACTAGCCTAAAATGGTGCAAGAATATTAATTATTATCATTGTATTCATAATCTTTACTCAGTGGCTATAGCAGATACTTGCCACATATTGGTACTCTGCAGGTCTCTTTCTGGACAGATGGGTCTTTGGTAAAACACCAGGGACCTTCTGGACGATGGTCAGGGTTTCTGCAGAAATTCTCCTTCAAATTGCTGCCTGGTTCTGAAGTGTTATACTCTCTGCAGACACACAGGAAAACAGGGAATGAATTACTTCCCCAAGTGGAGGAAGGATCTCAGTGTGCTGTTCACCAGTGTGAACAGAATGGAACGGGAAGACTGTCAGATTGGCATGACCTCTGCACTAATACGGATGCTGTACTGATCATCTGCAAAAGCAAAGCTATAGATGTCTTGATTCATGCTCAATCACGTAAGTAAATCCAAGTGACTTCTTCAGTCTCAGTTGACTGCAGGTTTCCCAAATCTTATAAACAGTACTGTACATTTCCATAATAACTGAAACTAGCGCCACTGAAGGAACAATGGGCTGGGAAGTCAGTTCCTTGATCATTAAAGAAGGCGCCAAAAGAAAGCTCCAGCCGATCCAGGAGAGAAGGACAACTGCTGCCTAGGCGAAAACCTGTAATGATCCCATATGTGTCAGGAGTATCAGAACAGTTCTGATGCATCGTGTCTCTGTGACTTTCAAAACCCAAAACACACTGCGCCAAAAAATTGGTCCACCCCAAGGATCGGGTCCCCCGACACAGAGTAACATAGTGCACGCTGTTAAGTGCCAGGAGGATTGCCAGGATTTATACGTCAGGGAAACCAAACAACCTCTCGCGAAGCGGATGGCACAACACAGACGAGCTACCTCGTCGGGCCAGGACTCCGCATTCTATTTACACCTACAGCTACACCGACATTTACACCTAATGAGGATGTACACATCCTGGACAGGGAGGAACGCTGGTTTGAGCGCGGAGTCAAGGAGGCCATTTACGTAAAAAGGGAAAGACCATCTCTGAATCGAGGAGGGGGCCTAAGGGTACATCTTTCGCCATCTTACAATGCTGTGATTGTAGCCATTCCCCAACTCTCTGTGAATGGTACTTTAATAATGGCCTTTGGTCAGTGGTTGTTGATGGTCATGAGAATTTGCATATTAATGATCAAGGAACTGACCTCCCAGCCCATTGTTCCTTCAGTGGGCTGGTTTCAGTCATTATGCAAATGTACAGTTTATACGATTGGGGGAACCTGCAGTCAGCTGAGACTGAAGAAGTCACTTGGATGAGTGAGGAAACCAGCGATGTGAACACGCTACGTCCAGATGAACAGAATCAACTTTTGGAGATTTACTTACCTGAATGATTGAGCATGCATCACGACATTACTGAGTTATAATTTGGGTGGTTAATAATTTTTGTTTTACCAGTTAGTTTGTGAGCTAGCCCTTTTAAATATGACTAAATTAAATGTCCTTTGTGTTTTTCTGCTTTTGCTCAGGTAATGAGTAATATGTTGCTTTGCTTTGGTTATTTCTTACCTAATTTAAGAAGCTCGTTAGTTAGTTCCAGGACTGTAATTTTTGTTTTTATGTGGGGAATTGCTCAGTTACCTAAAGATAGGATGTGGAAAGCTGTGCCTCCAGTGTTGACACACTCTGCCCGACTGCGTGATGCTGATGTCTCCTTCGTAGTTCACACCATTACCCTGACCAGAAATACACTGACCTGAGGACAGACACACACTCTGCGTTAATCTACACTAGTTAACTGTTTTATTATTTATTGTGTTCATTTATATTCACCTTCTATGCATTTTCTGATGAGATTGATGTTTTTTGCTGTTCTTGACATCCGAGTTCCTTTACAGTCTGCAGAACAAATAGACAGACACAGTGAGATGTTGGTGTGTTCCCTTTGTGTGCTGTTCTTGATTTTGTTCATGTTTGCAGTGCAGCTCACAGCTGAATAAACTCTGGTGTACAAATAACGTGAAAAATTGGACTCTGCTTGTGTTCATCCAACTGCACAAAGTTTAACAGAAGCAAAAAAATAAATAAAAATCAATAAATAACAAGATTACACAAAATCAAATTCATTCAAACCAACAGAAAGCACAGAAACATTCAACCAATTCTAGTTCTATTCAGAAACACATCAAATCTAAACTGGACCAAAACATCCATCCAAACACAAACATCTCTGTCAGGGAGGGGGAGGATACAAGTTTTCTGGGGGTATGTGGTGGTGGTGGTAGGAGGGGCTCTGGGCTTCTGTGTAGGCTGCTGCCCTCATGACCGGGGCACAGAGAAGCAGAAGAAAAAGGATCGATGGATGGATGTTTTGTTTGTTTAAAATCACTTAATATGAGAATTTCCTCTGATAAACTGAAAGACTGTGGAACTGTTGGTTACACAAAACAAGAAAATTGAAGAAAGAAATGTTTATTTCTTATTTATTGTAATAAAAAAAATCATACTGTTCATATACATATACTTATCTCTTAGTATTGAACATATTTGTTTCCATGTTTAAATCCAGTATATCTCACCGAGGTATTTGTTCCAGAATTTTTCCTGTAGGAAGAGAGATTGTTTTGCGATGAGACTTTGAACTGATCTCAGTGCTGTTAAAACTTCTGACAGGAGAGAGAAGTAAAAACATACTGTTTTATCTGGCTGCTCAAACACCTCTCTGGCTTCTTCGTGGTCGCAGATTTCCTCCACACACTCTCTCTCCAGGTTCCCTGATATGAAATAATCCACATTAACACACTATAATCGTGACAGTATCATGAGACACAAACATAGAGAGCACCTGTAAAACATGTTATAGTAATTTTGTGTCACTTCACAGTTGTTTGTTGTCTCTGTTTGGCTCTTTTTGTTTCTTTTTGATTTACTTTCCAGAATTAATGCTAACATTTAGCAGTCTCTGCCCACCTCCAGTCAACAAAGACTCAAAGCTAATATTGTTCCAAACCTGCAGCGCATGCTAAAGTAAGTGATTACAATTGAATCTAAAGTAGATACAAAAAGGGAGAGAAATGAACCTGCTCCCTGTACAAACATTTATTTGAATCAGGGAATTTTATGAGTTCAGTAGACACAGAATGATACGAATGGTCAAGATGTCAAACCATAGTGGATGTAATAATGAGGAGAAAAGCTGCTGTTTGGTCACCTGCTTTCAGCTCCTCAAACATCTGGTTGGCTCGTCTGTTCCGGACCAAAACCTGTGAGGCGAGGTGGCCACTGAGAAAAACTACAACAAAGATAGAAAATCAGTTAAACCCTTCCAGCATCACCAACACTCAGCCTCCAGTTTAATTTAAAATCTGTTCTGTAGTCACACAAATGATCAAATGCAAAATGACCTGGGACTGTTGAGCAGCTAGAATCCCCTATCAGACAAAAATGGGACAAAGTACCTCTTCCAAAATTACATCAGCTGCTCTCCTCATCCATGACGTTTACAGACCGTTTATAAAGGACAGAAGACACTAGACAGTGGTAAACACAGTCCTTTCAGATGTGCTGCTGCTATCAAATTCAACATGAGATATGGTTTTAATGTTTTAATTTACACAATGTTCCAACTTTTTGGGATTGGATTTGTATAAAATTTTTCCATTCTTCCATTTATCTTCTGTCTAATAATGAGGAAGATTTTGTCAAATGACACAATATGCTTTATAAATCATTTACAGGGTCTGCCTCTTCCAGGTGATTGTGTTTCACCCACCTCCCCCTTTGGCAAAATGCATGGCATATAAAAATACTGTATTAACTACGTACTCCAAAAATAAAAGTAATGGACGGAAAACATATCTTAAGTAAAGGTCAGTAATTTACATACTTGAGAATTGATTTCAATCATATTATACGCGTATTTCTATCGGGTAATTGTAGAAGTGATGGTAGTACTAATTACAAAGACTGTTTTTACAGTCTTTGTAATTATACTTCCAGACCAGATTTAAAATGGTTCATTTGGTTTAGTGTTCATCAAATTCAAGACAAGAGAAGAAGAAAAAAAAGTGATATTTGGTTAAACAATCAAATGTACAGATGCACAGACTGAGGGTTACTTTCTGTCTTCTTATGAACTTTCATAAAAGACTTAAATCGACATATATTCAAACCAAAGTACAATTTTGATCTAGATTAGTCATATGATGATCCTACATTTAGTACCAGTAATATGAGCACTAAAAACACCAGTTCACACATTGAAGAAGAAAGGAGTTCATTACCATGGTTTGCCACACAGCTGTGCAGGAGAAACAGCAGCAGAACAGCAGCAGGTTTTGATGTTGGTTCCATTATGATTCAGACCTGTAAGCAGAACCTCAGAACCAGATCCAGCAGTACTCAGTGTGTCCTTCTTTGTTTGCCCGTCTATGTCTCTCTGTCCGTCCTCTGGAGGGGGGGATTATTGACCAGAGGGTCAAAGTTTGAGCCAGACTGATGAGTCGGTTATGTTTAAACCTACATGTTTACTTTTTCTCAACAACTCGAGTCCTACTGTGGGTTAATACTGCTGCAGTTTAACACAACCCAAGATCAGTTTTGTTGATACTGAATTATTGTTTGGTAAAAAAAACAAAACATATGAACATACAAGTCACAATTAACAAGTGTAACAAGTCCCTAAAAAAATCTTAAAAAGTCTTAAAAATACCATCTTTGGTACATTTCTTATTGTTTTTTTCTTGTAGATCTTTAGTCACTTAAACCAGGAAAAATATTTTAATAATTCCATTTTGTCAGTTTTTCTTGCAGAACTCAAGTTTTTGGTTTAATTAAGCATCCAATTTACCTTTTTAAATTCAAATGTGAGGAATTAAGTGGGGTTAGTAGGAGGGGGAGGTGGGGTGGGTTTGGCGTGAGGAGCTCAGTGGATGATGTCCCAACAGGTTTATTTTGTTCCTTGGGAAATTTTTTTCATTGCTGTTTTCGCTTTTTTAATGTAAAGTCCTAATATTTTGCAAAAAAAAAATGTACTTGATGGAGGAAAATAGAGCTCATTTTTGGATTCAGCACCCTAAAAACATGAAAATTTATCAAAAATATACCGTTCAGAAAAAAACATTTTTTTGTGACGACATATGTTATCACAGTCTTGGGTTCCTAAAGTCAGTCATTGTTCTGTCCAAACCCAGTGTGGTGGAGGTGTGGTCCCTGGATCAGTTGCAGGAGAGGAGTGGTGCAGTGAGCTCAAGGGGGCGGTGCTGGGAGGCAGGTGAGGCCACAGGTGGTGGCGTTATGACTGATGACAGTCTCCATTTCTTTTCATAGTGGAGGAAGAGACGAGCGGAGAAGGAGGAGACGGACATCTGGGCTGAGAGGAGATTATTGTCAGTTGCACACACAAAGACAAAGTGCAAATCAGTGAGTCAACCATTGAGTGTGTTGGGTCCTTGTACACCCATCATACACAAAAATGATTCAACATTTAAAATAATAAGAGTTTGTTAAAAGCTAGGTCAAGTTCATTATCGGTGATGACACAAACCTGAACCCTACGCAATACAAAGATGTTCCCCAAATTTCTACTTCACAGACCTGTTTTGGTTTTCTCTAAAACACAAGTATGGAGTTAGGCATCACCACCCACAGTTAATATGTGTTAGGGCTACAATGGGTTTTTGTTTTGGCCATGTGCTCAGTAAGCAACACTCCAGAAACTAGATGTTACATTTCAAATAAATACTCATTTTGACATCAGACTTTCATTTGGGTGTGGAAACGCCCTTAGCTCTTTGCCTTCCAGTAAGTCAATGTTTCAACCATAGGAGGACATCAAGAAAAGACCACCATCAATCGGTTTTCAACGTCTGATGATTGGTGACTGGAGATCAGTTGAAGGTCACATCTCTCACCAACAGGGACAGTCTCCAACCCTTCTCAGAACCTCAATATGTCAATCAGTTCAGAAAATGGCTGGACGTTCAGTTTGCAGTAACAGTGAATGTGTAATTCCATGGTCCCATCAGAGGGTGCAGTTTGTGCTGCTGTCAAACATTTGCTGTAATCTGTGTGGATTCATGTTGAAATATATTCTGTGTGAAACTACAGTTTGTAACTTTAAAGACATTTTAAAACATAAACAAGAAAACATATTCAGACAATTTTGACTTTTCACAGTATTTGTATATATTCGTATATATCACAGTTGTCCAGATAATTTAAGAAAAGTTAAAATACTAAGTGTAAAAAATGTCATGCTCTAATCACCTTTGACGTTCACCTCAAAATGTTATTTGGTCATTACATGATTTCTGCCTGCTGTTGGTACTAAACTCAATTATATTACATTTGTGGTTTGCACCAGTTTTTTTCTTTTTTGACTCAGAGGTCGGTGTTGACTGAGCGAACTTTTGTTCCTAAGCCTTTCAGACATACGTCACTTGTGTAAATAAAGGCTGCTGCTGAGGTCAGAGGTCATGTTCAGAATCTAATGCTTTAGCTTGTCTCAATGAACATGTTATGAGCTCATATAGCAAACAGCATATTGGGAAGAAGAAGCAGGAGTGGTTAAATAAAAACATGAAGGTAAAGAGACATGCAGCAACCTCTTAGTATTGATCTGGCTTCTGCCTGACTTAGGACAGCTCACACATCAAATATTTACCTGCTGATACTGAGGTGAAAGTCTTCCAGTGGTGTTCAGCTTGTGGTCACACATACTTCACAAACCAACCTGAAATGAGACTAAAACTTTATTTTTTTTTTCCAACCCTACAGTGACAGGTGTTTCTCATTGCATCTGAGTAATAAAGAAGTTGAGTCCTTTTATTTATTTATTTATTCATTCATTCATTCATTCATTCATATTCTTTCAGATCTGATCATTGTAATATAAAAGTCGTTTAGGATTTAACAGGACATAATAAATACAAAGCTGAATCTCTCCTAGCCCACCCCACTCCCATGGAGGCCAACACTACCCTCCGGTGGTGGTTAGACAGCATGGCACGTAAGCTTGTTGCAGAGTGTGGAATTAATCCAGCTCAAACAATAAACTCAATAAATAAAATAAACATGAAACTATATAACATCATCCATAACAAAAAACCCTACATAATCTTAAATAACATCAAGTTATTTCTTTTCAAATCAAAGTATTGCACTTGAAGTTCTGATGCAGAGATGAACTTTTTGTGGTGTTACGCCACAGTTACCCATGATTCAGCCATTGAAAAGCAGAGTTTACTAGACTGCATACTTATTCTAACATTTCTGGGATCATTTGTTTGGGAGGACTAGTGCAGCTCGATTGTTTCAGAGCTTCATCTGCTGGGTTTCTGCATAAATTGTCAAAGCTCATGTTTTGTTTTATGTATGAACATACGTATTTATGTATTTTTCAAAAACACCAACAACAGACTTTCATTATAAAACAGCTCTAAAATTATTGGTAAACAATAAAAGAGTTGGTTGTCTTCTTATTTTAACAGCTCCTCCATAAAACACAGCAGGCACATAACAAAAAGCCAGTACTGTTCATTGGACATGCTGGCACTCACAGTCGAACCATCATATCTAATTATTAAAACATCTTAAAATCTTTTAAATACACTGAGGTGTCATTCTGAAACCTAAAACCAAACTAATGAGGCTCAGCTATTGTGATACTCATGGCCTGAATGTGGATGAGGATATCAGGCCATGAGTCTCTAGAAGGACAGATTGATACCAGGACAGTCCTCACACACTGCCATTTCTGTTTGGTGCCACAGCTAAAGATAAAGGAGCAGCTGTATCAGGAGGATTTTAAAGTAACAAAGCTTTGCCTGTTGTTCTCTTTTGAAAAAAAAATACTATTGCAGCTTATTGCTAATGTTTGTTGTAGATGATTTCAGAGTTTTTCTCTGTCTTCTTTTAAGTCACATATAGTCAGTGAGGTGTCATTCTGAAGCCCAAACCCAGGATAAAGGGGTTCAGTGAATGTGGTGTTGAAGGTGTGAATGTGATTGAGGCTGTCAGAAGAGACTCTGTAGAAGGACAGAGTGCCAGCAGCAGCATCCAAATACACTGCTACTCTGTTAGAGACAGAGGATGAGGAGGGGAGACGACTGAATGTTACACTGTTGTTGTGGCACAAAGAGTAACCATCATGAAAGCAGCCCAGGCACCAGGACTGATCATTCCTTCCAAGCCATGAGTGGTTTGTGTCTCCTTTCCTTCTGATTCCTTTATAACTCACGGCAATATCAACCCTTCCTGTCCACTCGACCTCCCAGTAACAACGACCAGTCAGACCATTGTTGCACAACAGCTGAGAACGTTCAAATCTGTCTGGATGATCAGGATATGACTGATCCTCTTTCAGATGGGTTGCCTTCCTGTTGTTGTCACATAGTTGGAGTTTTCTGTTTACTGTGTTTGTGTCGATTGTGAGTTGACAGGAATCTGATGGAGAAAAAAGAATTACAGTTAAGCTGTGTTTTAACATTTATCTGTTTGACACAAAACTATGAGGTTTAATGGTGGATTGTAAATGAACACGGTCTAAACATATTGATTATGTAAGTAAAATGAGTGGCGGTCTGTCAGTGGTGACAAGAGGTTAGTTGATTGATTGGGTGGGTTAAGGCTGCAAGCCTGGTCAGCGCCATCTTACCCTTTCGACCATACATACATTACACAAACATCACATGGGGAAGACAGGTCAGAGAGGTATAACAATGGAAAATACACAACACAAGGAAGGAAAAACCCCACCTCAGCACATAGCACATAAATCAGCACATCTCACAACACAGAAGACATAAGCTTCGAAGTGTAGGTCTGTGTCAGTGTACATGCGTATGTGTGCGTGTGTGTGTGTTCCGTGTTCAGCCCTTCACTCGGTTAGGCAACTGTCAACAGTCTTCGGTCGACGCGGGTTTCCTTGATGGAAGGGGAAGAGTCACAACACAGTCTTGTTATCTAAGGGAGAACTTTTGTTATTCCTGTCAGCTTTTGCCTTGAGCATCCAGCTGGTGCCAGGGGAGCCGCATGAGATGAAGATGGTAGTGCGAACAAACTGCTTCCAATTTTACAGTAGGTCTAATGTCCATCACTGGTCAACATATCTCTCAATTCCCGTTTTTCTTCTCCAAGATGTTATCCATATTGCGTTCAATAAACACAGTCTGAGTACTCACAGCCCTGCCCATCGTCTATCATGTCAGCCAGCCTTGTGGGATTTTGAACAGCTGTAGGCGCTTCTTGTTCTTCGATAAGCCAGGTCCGAGCGAGCTCCAATCAGCCAGAACTCTGTTATCATGGTTCCGAATTGGTAGATGTCGTTTGATGTTCTCCATCAAGAGTATCACCAGAAACACGACGCAACAGACCATCGAGTACCTGGCAGCAAACATCTCCGCAGGACAATTGGGTTCTACCAAGCCCAGGAGTTTGTCAATTTTGTTAAGGGACCAGTTGATCAAATCCATAATTCTTCTTTAGGTTTTTAAAAGAACAAGTCTGGGAGACTCTCTTAGGGTTAGAGAATAAGCGAGACTATACAAAGACATGAGAAGCCAAGGGAAGATAAGGGAGAGGGAGAGGCAGAGAGAGAAAAGTGCGACCACCTCCGTCAAGAGCCAAGAAGAAAGTTCTGGCACAGCCTAACTATTGCAGTGTGATCTGGTCCAGTGCTTTAATAAAAGAAATTAAATTACAACTAACTCGAAATAAAGCTCCATGATGTCATGATGAGTGCTGTGTGGCTGGCAGGATGTGTACCCAAATGCAGGACTCAGAAAAGGAAAGTTAACTTAAAGCGCAGCTTTATTGCTGGGAAAACTCTTCACAGAAATAAACATCACAAAACGAACTAAAAATCACAACATGAAACTAAACATTAAACTAGCTGTTGGAAGAGAGGATGTACTGTATCTGTGCAGAGTGGATATGAGTGCAAATTTATAACCTTGATCTTGCAACAGTAGTCATATCTTCCCTCTAGTGAACCTAATGCTGTCTGTAATGTAGAACCTACTGTGGTGTTCCAGTATTCACATATTCTGGTGCCAACTGAATTTCAGCCAACAACCTGACAGCCAGTAACACATTGTTGGCGTATCGGTAGTCCACCAATCCAGATACCAAGAATAAAGAACCACCACCCAATAAAAACTATTTATTTATACTGTTTATCTTGTGATTAAAAACCACCTGACTGATTGAAATTTCTTAATCATATCACATGTTCTGGTTTAAATACAAACTAATTTCAATTCTACTCACTGCTGAGCTGCATCGCATCTGGATATCGATGAAAATTGTCACTACTTTGAGGGAAAAACTCATTCGAGATTTTACAAAACAAAAACATACTTACACTTCCTCAGACCTGGTATCAACCACTCGACACCAACCGGTTCCAAGCTAAAGTGATACGTTTAGACAAATTCAGATCATCCTATCATTTTATATTATAAAGTGATGTGTTTATAATGTTAGTAACAAGATCACCCAGATACCTGAGAGTCTCCAGTCTCCTGAGTGGATCCTCAAGTCCGCATAGCAGCAGCTTCCCCCCGTCTCCTGTATGATTGTAGCTCAGGTCGAGCTGTCGCAGATGGGATGATGGGTTGGAATGAATAGCTAAGGCCAGAGAAGCACAACCTTCCTCTGTGATCAGACAGCCTGACAGACTGCAGACAAGCAAAATGAGATACATGTCAGTTCATGTGGGAATGCCAGTGTACAATTTAAAGGTATTAGAGAACAGCATACTTATGGCTAAAATGATGATAACTCTTAATTTAAATTGTGACAATTAGCTTTTCCTTTCATTGAAAATGTGTTAATAAAATACTAATAGAATTCTAAAACTAAAGAGCCTGAAAACTCAAGACATTACTAACAGTTGCTTAAGACTGAATAAAGCACATGTCCTCCATGACTCAAATTGCTTTACCCTACAGGAGAATGAGGTCTTGAATGCACTTTTTTTTGACTAGTTAGCAAGCATAGCAAGAGAGAAAATGTTTCTTTGTTGTTGTCATCAGGCTGCTTCTAGGTATCGTAGCTCAAATAATAAACATCTCACCAGAGAGTTTCCAGTTTACAATGTGGACTCTCCAGCCCAGCAGAAAGCTTTTTCACTCCCCAAACATTCAGGTTATTGTTACTCAGGTCCAACTCTCTCAGATGTGAGGATTGGGAGCTGAGAATTGAGGACAAACCTTCACAGCTTTTCTCTGAGAGGTTACAGCCACTCATTCTTTAAGAAAAAGAGGACAAATGATCAGTAAAACGATCCACTTACTGACACACGTTAACTAATTCTACTAACTTGTTCTCCTGCTGTTTGTAGAAAATCCAGCAACTAAGATTTATGTACTTACAAAGCTTTCTTGGAGGACTTGACCACTGGAAGTAGCCTGAGAAGACCCTCCTCAGAGGGGGAGTACTTCTTCAGATCAAACACATTCAAATCTTTTTCTGATGACAGTAAGATGAAGACCAGAGCTGACCACTGAGCTGGAGACAGTTCATCCCTAGAGAGACTTCCTGAATTCAGGGACTGTTGGATCTCCTCCACTAGAGAATGATCATTCAGTTCATTCAAACAGTGGAACAGGTTGATGCTTTTCTCTGCAGACAAATTGTCACTGATATTATTCTTGATGTACTCGACTGTTTTCTGAATTGTCACTGAGCTACTTCTTGTCTTCGTCAGCAGTCCTTGTAGCAGAGCTTGGTTGGTTTCCCATGAAAGACCCAGGAGGAAGCGGAGGAACAAGTCCAGATGTCCATTTGGACTCTGTAAAGCGCTGTCCACAGCACTCTGATATAAATGTGTCTCTGCAGATTCTCTTGATTCATACTTTTTGGAGGGTGTTTGTTTTTCCAGAAGATTGAGTTCAGAGCAGAAGAAGGTCAGATGAACATGAAGAGCAGCCAAAAACTCCTGAACACTCAGATGGACAAAGCAGAACACCTTGTCCTGGTACAGTCCTCTCTCCTCTTTAAAGATCTGTGTGAACACTCCTGAGTACACTGAGGCTACTCTGATATCAATACCACACTCTGTCAGGTCTGATTCATAGAAGATCAGGTTTCCTTTCTGCAGCTGATCAAAAGCCAGTTTTCCCAGAGACTCAATCATCTTCCTGCTCTCTGGACTCCAGTGTGGATCTGTTTCAGCTCCTCCATCGTACTTGACTTTTTTCACTTTGGCCTGAACCACCAGGAAATATATGTACATCTCAGTCAGGTTCTTGGGCAGCTGTCCTCCCTGTCTAGTTTTCAGCACATCCTCCAGAACTGTCGCAGTGATCCAGCAGAAGATTGGGATGTGGCACATGATGTAGAGGCTCCGTGATGTCTTGATGTGGGAGATTATTTTGATAGCTAGCTTCTTATCTTGAAATCTCTTCTTGAAGTACTGCTCTTTCTGTTGTTCAGTGAACCCTCTGACCTCTGTCACCATATCAACATACTGATGAGGGATCTGATTGGCTGCTGCAGGTCGTGTGGTTATCCAGAGGCGAGCAGATGGAAGTAGTTTTCTCTTGATGAGGTTTGTCAGCAGCACTTCGACTGAGGTGGACTTTGTGATATCAGTCAAGACCTCAGTTTTCTGAAAGTCCAGAGGAAGTCGACACTCATCCAGACCATCAAAGATAAACAGAACCTTGAAGTCTTCAAAGCTGCAGATTCCTGCATCTTTAGTTTCAGTAAAGAAGTGATGAATAAGTTCCACCAAGCTGAACTTTTCCTCCTTCATGACATTCAGCTCTCTGAAGGTGAATGGAAATATGAACTGGATGTCCTGGTTGGTTTTGTCTTCAGCCCAATCCAGAGTGAACTTCTGTGTTAAAATTGTTTTCCCAATGCCAGCCACTCCTTTTGTCAGCACTGTTTTGATTGGTTCATCTCTTTCGGGTGAGGCTTTAAAAATTTCTTCTTGCCTGATTGTTCTTTCTGGTTTGTCTAGTTTCCGGGATGCTGTTTCAATTTGTCGGACCTCATGCTGATCATTGACCTCTGCAGTCCCTCCCTCTGTGATGTAGAGCTCTGTGTAGATCTGATTCAGAAGAGTTGAGTTTCCTGCTTTAGCAATCCCCTCAAACACACACTGGAACCTCTTCTTCATTGTACATTTGAGATGTTGTTGGCATGTAGCTGGAGTTCCTGATTGAACAAAGAACAAATCCCATAAATTTGAGCATTTGATATTAATGTAGAAGATGTAACTCTGACATTTCACATCCCAACCCTAGATAAGAGAGGCTAGGCAATGGACTAGCAGCCCAAAACCAAAACAATACATCCACTGACACAGTGAAGAAAAAAAAGAAAATTGTTCTCCCCCCCCCCCCCACCTATTCTTATATGTTGAATGCCAGGATCTCCCTAAAACACAGGCCAACCAGTCTTCAACCACCTAGGATATGCATTATAAGTTCATGAAAAGAAAGTGTTGTGAAGATCGGGAAATCAGCTCAAACTGCCACAGAAGTGCAGTAGTGTAACTACTTAGTGGGAATCTGTAGGACCAGATGGGCAAAGTGTGAGCAGAAAAGGCAAACATCAGGTGAGATGATTCTGGGTACTTCACCTGAGGAGGAAGGTGCTGAACGAACTTAAGGCATAGCACCAGGCTGCAATACTTGGCACAGAGAGCATTTGTAGAATGAGAAGCTCATGAGAGAAGATTCATCAGTATGGCTTCCAAGATCACAAAAAAATATAGCTCCATGAATGTCATTAAGAGCTATGCACCATTTTATGTAAGTGATGCTCGGACCAAAGACGTTTTGTTAATATCCGAACAATGCCTTTCTTCAGAAAATACTGAAAGAAGAGAAAAGCTGGAACATCCTGAATTCTCTAACAGGACGACTCACATACAGATGAAGGCAAAATTATTCCCCACCTATCAAAGTCTTTATCAAAAACTCCCCTAACTTTCCCAATTGCTTTTTTGACCATTTCATGCATGAAATATGACAACCTCAATCAGGATTTTTTAAAAGTATTTTTATTCATCTTTAGGCATGAAAAAAAGATTTTTGAACTTTTCAGTTTTTTACATGTCCCCTTAGGTGGACAACATGGGTTTTGACTTATGACTTTCACAAACAAATAAATAATATACACTGTATAAAAACTATAACATAACAAAATATGTTTTTATATATTTTAAATATATTTTATAACAATATAACAAATGTAACAAATATATGTAGAGGCTCTGTGATGTCTTGACTGCCACCCACTGGCTGACCAGTGAGTGGCAGGGTATGGACTGACACATAAGTGTCCAATGTAGTGGTTTATGTGCAACTATACCATTAACACTAACACACATACAAAAAAACAGCCTTTGAATAGTTGTCCACTATAGTGACCACTATGCGTAAAAGGGTTAAGTGGGATTTTCAAAATAACATTTCTCAACATACTACTTCCTGTTAGAAAGTAGGAATGATTTATGTTTGTACACAATTTCAGACTGATTTCAGAAAAAAAAACAAAAAACTACTAGGCTCAATATTATTAACCCCCTGAAAAACGATTTTTGAGCATTAACGTTGTAAGTCTCGCAGCTTAGAAAATCCAGTTAAAATTGAGGATCCTCTTCTAATTTGCACGCAATGTAAGAACCACAGCAAGGCTTCGAGATGTCGCTTGAGGAAGCATACCAAAGACAAAAGAAACACCTTAGACTTGATTGAAAGAATTGTTGACACTCTCCAAGATATCGATATACAAAGTTCTAATAGTATTTAATAATAGTATCTAATAGTAAGAATGAAAGATTTCAAAGTAGTGATGTGCGGATTGATACTGAAATATCGATTCCTCCGATACCAGTCATTTATGTTCTAGAATCAATTCTCACATTAAAATACTGATATTTTAGTAATTTAGGGTAAATTTGTAGTTTATCATTAACAGGAACACAGTGGAAAGAAGCTATATCATTCGAATTGTCTACATTGGAAGGAACTACTTCCTCTTACGCCTTTCATAGTCATGTGCGAAATACGGCTGTATAAATGTCTCCACCCCCTGGCGTGCGCACTCACAACAATGGCTGAGTGTAAACGGAGTCATGTGTGGACGTATTTTACATCCACAAACAGCCGAGACGTGGTTTGCAATACATGTGGCAAGAAAATGAGGTGTTGTGGCAACACCACTAACCTTGTCAAACACCTCAGAGTAAATCATATCACAGAATATGACGAGCGTATGTTGAGGCGAACTGAAGAGGAGGACAGGGACAGGTGCTGCTAGGGCGAGACAGACGCCTCTCACGGAGTCCTTTAGTGCTGCAGGCAGGCAAGGTGTTCAAATAGCGCACAACTTCAATTTTTTTTATTTCTATGTGATGAATTCTGCATTATTAAGTGATAAGAACAAGTAATCTGATGTCCTGTAATCATTATGATGCTATAATTTGAGATACAATAAAAGACACAATAAATAAAAGAAGTTTTTGTACAGAGTATCGGTATCGGATCAGTATCGTCGATGCCACCCTGAATTTTACTTGGTATGGGATCGTAAAGGAGATCAGTGATATCGCACATCACTACTGAAAAGACAAATGACATGACCTGTCTGGAAAGGACAGTCTTGGGCCTTTTATGTCATTTAGGGAATCAGCTTATGTAGAAGTGCAATGTTTATTGGTTTATCTGGTTATACTGGAAGACAGTGAATGATGCACAATTCATGATTTGATTGTTTATTATACTCAGCACTTTTGTATATGTTTTGTTTATAGACCACAGACATCCACTCCCGCACCTACGAGTCCTTGTACGCCCCATCTGTAAGCCTGTGGTTGCATTACTGTGCTGTAGTGTTAACGAATGACAGTAAAGAAGGAAGAACCTAATTTGAACTCCTGTTAGTTCTGACCGGCACCACTGCTATTCAGCCAACACCTATACAGTCATTGGTGAAACCCAAATGATTAGTGGCAGACTAAGAAAACCTGCACTTCTGCTGAATTGGACTGGACATCTTCAAGCCAGACTGCAGTATGTTAAGCACAACCTGGAAAAAGACTATCCATACTGAAACCACATCCTAAGGTCAGATAAGACAAAATTAGGGCTCTTTGGTTCTTATGTTTGGAGAACATTCTGATCCACAATGCTGCACTGACAGGAGCTAGAGAGAAAGAGAGCATATTTCTCTCATATTGGCTTTTCTTCATTGACTCCCAGTTAAATCTAGAAAATTTGATGGGCTTACTTGTGGTTCCTAGAGTATTTAAAGGTAGAATGGGAGGCAGAGCCTTCAGCTTTCTGGCCTCTCTTCTCTGGAAAGATGCACAGTTTGCTATTAGTATCCAGGTTCATAATTTCAACCAAGGTGATTTTTGATATTTGGGAAATAATTTTATTTCTGAAATTTAAATCTTAAATTATGCATATTTAGCAAGACCATGTTAAAACATTATTTGGTCTCTTTAAAAGGATATGGGTAAAATAATTTTATGGTCCAAAACAAAGATTAGATGAGAAATATGGTTTGCCAGTGAAATTTCAGGTGAAGATTAGACCATTTGACACCCGTGTTTTCCCAAACCCTGCCACAAGCGGTTGTAGGGTTGCAATGACGGTGGTGCTCAGGACTGTAAATACTGTCTGAGCCAGACTCTTAAAAACTGTTTTCTTCCTGGTAACACCTCTCACTCTTCATTGATGAAGTGAGGTCACAAAAGCTGAGATTTACAGTGGATTTGAGGAAATCACAAACATACACCAGAACACAGTCTGAACTTTATAACCAGACGTGGAATGAGTGGTGGGAGTGGGACATAACATGATAGCAGCCAGGTGTTGGTTTTTTTTATGAACCTAGTTGGAAAAAAACATGTCTGATCTGGACACTACACTTGATCTTTATAGAAAATGTTCTTACTTCTTTGTAGAGAGTCAGCCAAGTCCTCCTGCTTCATCCACCTCAGGAAGTCATCTACCATCTTCAGAAGAGCTTCTCTGCTGCTCCTCTTCTGGTTTTCACCCTCCAACATCTCCTTATCCTTCCACTGACTCGCTAAACATTCTGGATGATCTGGACTCAGAACTTTCTGGATCTTCTTCAGTTCATTCTTCACAAAAGTGATGATGTTTTCTTCCAGCAACTAGAACAGAATACTATATATTTTTTTAACATGAATCGTATAATTACCAGAAACATCGTATCTGGTCTTGTACAGAATTTCAACCTACAGGCCTACAAATTACTATAAAGGAACTTTATTACAAAGCCTGCCACTTCATCTATACTGGATGTATAGAAATAATGACTACACAGCTTTACATAAGCTAGTCAGTCAGTCAAATACAATACAACACTGAGAACAGGTGTTACTGTAGAGTTTTAGGTTTGTCCTCTTTATGATTTCATATTAACAATGCCAGAGAATTTTGTTGAACTGAATTACGTCAACAAGAATTTGATTTAATCTGATGAAACTGCGCTACTTGATGTATAAGGAGCTTGGAAGGACACAATCTGGACTTCTTGAAGTTTCTTGCAGACATTTCAACTCTCATCCGAGAAGCTTCTTCGGTTCTAAGAGCAAGAGAGAGTCCCGGATTTTTAAGCCCCGTTGGGAGTGTCCCTAAGCCCTTTTGGCTTGTTCATCTTCATGAAATTTAAGGAAGTCCAGATGCTTTCCTTCCAAGCTCTTTAGACTATGATGACTGGATGACCGAGAACCTTCACAGACATGTGCTGCTTGATGTTATATTAGTACACAGTCCTGTTTGATTCGTAGCTCAAGTGAAGGACGTTTCTGTTCATGTACAGACCCTAAATATGGAGTCCAGGTGTTTTTGATCCTGCTGTTCAGACTGACCACTAGGAACCTCTGAGCTCTCCTGATGCATCCTGTAAAAACATAAACTATTAGTTAATATTTGATATAAACTTGAACTAAACATTTGAACAAAAATCTGACCAAACTTCGGCTGCTCAAAAAAAGCAAAAATCATCAACACAGATTTACTGTCTTCCTTTAGCTTCTATTATGTCTGACTTTCTTTCTAAATGCACTGTTTGAATATTCTACAGGTTGCCAGTTGCCAAACAATACAAAAAAAATAGACGACCCTTTACTTTGAAGGATTTTGCATTTCGCCTTCACAGCAGCAACAAAAGAACTTTTAGTGAATAATGTGACTTCTAATTGTGAAGATAGGACATAATTTGTTATTTTTACTTTCATATTGTGATGCCAACAAAATGATGCGTTATTTTGAGGAAACTAATTAGTGTTTAATGGACACAAAATAATCTTACTGAAGTAATGACATCAGTGTAGCAAAATAATAACCATTATCTCTCGGAGAAAATGCAAACGTTTTCTGACACTTGTAAGTTTTCTGTTTATTTTGAAAGTATGAATTAATTCCAGTCACTTGTTTGAAAGTCATCAGGTCTTTTACGTTTGTCATAATAATTAATTAGGTGTACAAGTAAAATACTCAAGAATCCAAAAGCACATGCAAAAAACTGTAAATCATTGTTCCTGACTTTTATTGACTTTAGACCAGATCTTGCTTAAATTTTTGCCTTTCTTTTATTGTGGGTTAGATTTGAACACTTGAAAAAAAAAAGCGTCAATGTGCAACTAAAACAGCAAATAGTGGCCCAATGTAGGATCAAAATACTAGTGAAAACTAGCCCAAACTGGAGCTACAGCTTTAGCAGTTCTAAGTTTAATGCTCCAGTCTCTTGTGGATCTTGTAAAATAAGATAACAGAAAGCTTTGTGCATTCATTAAAGCGCATATACTCTCCTGGAAGATATAAACAGTGGCACATATAACACTAAATCTATTTGTCAAATTTTACAAATCTATTTGTAGTTTTAGTGTTGAAAGTACTTGTGAGAGAGTTATTCAGAACATCTTTCACAAACTCTGTACACACAGGAGGTTCGCCATCACAGAGGGGTTAACTCACTTTGCCTGTGAAGAAGGTTTCTGTGTAAAATGTCACAGTGGCTTCTTGAACTGGCTGCTATTCACAGACACACAGCTGGATTCAGCTTCAGAGGAGTCGACTCTGTGATCAATGCTGTTCTATTAAGCCTATACAATCATATACTTTTATGTAAAATATTCATTTTCATATTATGGTAACTTACTTTTTGGCAGTATGTCTAAAACTGGTGTTTAAATTATTTGGCCGTTCACTTTTTGAGGACACACAGCTGGGTTCAGGTCTCGGAGAATTCAGCATCTGATGGATCCTAAAAATAAATAGCCTTGCATGAAAAAACGTCATATGTGGATTTGAAGTTAATTCTTTAAATCAGTTAATATTGAAAACAACTCACGTTTTACTGGAGGAACTTTTTGTTTGAAATCAGTCGCAAGTTCTTTTGAATCGTTGCTCTTTAAGGACACACAGCTGGGTTCAGGTCCAGGTTGGTTCCTGTGAATAATGATGGAGCAGTGATGTGAGTGCTGAGCTGTGACATGGAGAAGAGTCATGGACAGTTAGAGATGGGCATCTCACCTCTGAGCTTTGGTCTGGCTCTCATGTTCCCCACACAGAGCGGTTTTAGAGGGGGGGACTCCCTCCTCTCTGTCCTCACACTGATCCATAGCAGAGCCCACTCCTTCACACAAACAAAACTTCATGAGTGGATGAACATCAGATTTGTTGGAAATGAACTGAGAACCAGGGACAGCAGCTAATAGTAGGAGACTGATAAAAAGAAAAACAGATAATATGTGGACAGCGTTTAGGTTTGTCAGCTGTCAGATAATTACACGTATGTCACAGTTAGGTTTTTATCCCACCTGTTAGCAACTCTCATATGACTTCAGTAAGATTCACATGCATCCATTAGTTGTTAATGTGATTGTGTTCTCTCATTTTCTTCATGTTTTTTGAGTACTCAATGTCCATGCTTCACCTGCAGGAGCTTTGTGTCTTACATGGGTCGACGCCATTGTATTTACTTTGGCAACAAAACAGTGAATCAGGGTTCAAATAAGAAGAGTCTGCAGATGGTGAGAAGTCCTCCTTTTTGTGCTGTGTGGAGCTGCCAGCCCTAACCCTCTGCTTCCTTGTGATCTATGCAGTTTTTACTGTGAGATGAAACTCAATAAAATAGTTTCAACTGTGGTTCAACTTTGCCCATCTGTTGGCCAGGTTGAAGCAGATTTACAGCTGAATAAACTGTTCAGCAACAATTCTGTTGACACTGTGTGGCTTTTAGGTCTAACTGTGAGGCAAATAGAGAGTTAACAGCTGTGTATACAGGCATGGTTAAAACAGATAGTTAAATGTTTGTGTACAGCAGGTTTAACAAGGTTTTAAACTACAGCAAACATGTAACTGGACTTAAATCAGATAATGTAGCAAAAACAAGAATCAAACACATCCTGTAAAATATTCTTAGGTATGTTTAAGACTTTGATCTGTGTGCTTAACAAGTTTATTAGACTACCTGACATTTAAAAAAAACAACAACAAGAAAACACAAAGACTTGAGAAATCTGTCAAAAACCTGTTTAAAACTAAATGACGGTATAATGAAATTGCTGTTTATCGGGCAAATTACAAACTGAATCCACATTTTTATACCCAAATTTACACTGGACTTGTGTCAGAGATCAGAAATTAATCCGTCAAATAACCACTAAAAATTTTTTTTCTGTGTTTTCTGTTCAGGAATGAAAGTAAATAACTGTAATAAAATTCTACTGTGCTTTACATTTTTTCTGCTTTTCTGTAAAAGAGAACATTTGGATATGGATAACATGGATAATTATATTCTAGCATTAAAATATAATTTGGATTGCAGAGGTTTTGCATACTGGTTGATTAATTGTTACAGAAACATAAACTGTTATTTTGGTAATAACTATTACTGTTAATATAAGGACAGCTGTGGCATAAACCTTACACTGGAGGTGGTTTGATAAACTTGTTCAGCACTGCAGCTAAAATGTCCTGATAAATCTTCAGTAAGTTACAGATAATTATTTATAGATTTTAATAAGTACGAAGATGTGAATGCTAACAGTCACACGGTCTATAGTCAGTCTACTGGGACAAATCATGGTATCATGGCTAAATGTGCTGTTTCACATTCCTTTCTCTGTTTTACAATCCAGGCCTTTTTCAGGGCAATAACTGTAACACTGTAAACTTTGATATTGGCCTAATTACTGCTTACAGAACATGTAACGCAGGAATGTCAAACTTGATTTAGTAATGAACCCAATTTGATCTCACGTGGGCTGAAAGAGTAAAATAATTTCACAATAATCCACTTTTTTGTGTTTTAATATAAACACGTTCAAGAATATTTTTACATTTACAACAGATCAAACAAACTGCCAAGATCTAGAAATACCTTCAGCACAGTTTCCCTGCCTGTGTTAAACTGTCTTAAACTTTGAAATGTGCAAAGTCGTCCAGTGGGCTGTTTCTGGCCCCCAGGCCGCATGTTTGACACCACTGTATCTTTATGCCCTGAATAAAAACACACTGCATCCAAACAGCTGACAGGGTTGTTGTTTTTTTCACCGAGCAGATATTTACTCGCTCCAGGCATTTGTTCATTCCGGGACGTTATTTTGAGTCATTATCCAAATTTCCTTGTCCCCAGATTCACTTTCTGATAGAAACCGCTTTACAAGTTTAATGGTTTGGCCTCAAGATACGATTTTAAAAGGTTCCCTTGTTAAAGCTACACTTCTATCAGCGCGCGTGCTTTCACAGATCTCTCCATCATACTTAACCAGTCCGCACGCTGGGCTCTGATAATCACATAAAATAAACACTCTACAAATCCGCTCTTACAAACAAACGAGCAACTTTGCAAACAAAAGCAAAGAATAAACCACAAACAAACACTTACCAACGTATAAGTATCCACGTAAACATGACAAAAGCCAGTTTAACTAACCAGGAAATAAACAGAGGCTGACCTGATACAGGAGACCCGCCCACCAGTCTACCTCAGCCGAACGACTGAAGTTCAAGTACAACCAAGTCCACTGTAGCTATTAGCGCTTCATGTGGTTTGAACTACTTCAAACAGAGTTAGTTTAGTGCACTGGTTAAACTATAGTCGTTTTTTTCTAAGTAATATTTTCAGCGCGTGTTAACCATCAGTGTGCCACACCTACTGTAGTTACTAATGGTGACCACTAGAGGACAGTCACCACCATGAAAACTTCACCTGAAGCGCAGAAGCTTAAACGGCCATCAGCAGATTATATACCAGAGGCTCGGGAGCCAAACCGACTTCATTCTGTGGATTCTCTGAATGATGAAAACTTCATGATATAATTGCAGATTTCTTCATATATGACCTGCATGGAGAAGCTGAAAAAATGTCTGTTACTGATGTACAAACCTGAACAAGAGGCTGTTGGTACCTGAATCTCACCACCAGCTTCTGAAAATAAAATTAGGCTCAGAATCAAAGCTCCAGTAGTCAGCTCTGTCCTGACACACAGTCCTGTGATTTACTGTTTTAAAGGACACCTTATACCGCATGTGTCAGTGGTTTGACACAACCAGAGTCTGTGGCTTCACATTGAGTCAGGCAGGAGTTAGTCTGTGATCTCAGGCCAGAACAAAAGGACACCAGATCGCACCTCTGCCACAGAGCACTCCTTTGAGGTGGAGGACTTCTTTCCTCAATCAGAGATCTGTTTTCAGCCTCGGAGCTCAAACAATGCAAGTGGAAGACAGGACACTCTGATGGTGCTTCAACAGTTGTCAGCAAATAAAACTGCACACAGTCAGGGATCTATGATCAACTGATCAACTGATATATTTATAAGGTCAGAGGTCGAAGTTTAATTACAATTTATGGACCCATTTTTATTAAAAAATAATGCGCATTACGCTTCACAAATAAATATATCAGGAAATTCCAGTCATGTGTGTTTAATATGATGGCTTCAGGTATAACTGTTGCTCTTCAAGTTACCTGGGTGAAGGAGAGCTAACACTGCCCTCTTTGGGTAAAGTTCATGATCACAACTTTCATGCTTTAAATTTAGTTTCTGTGAACATGACATAACATAGAGATTAATAAAAGATTAAACACTATTATTGGATTAATGCCACCTCTCAAATATGCTGACAAACTCTTAATTACAATAAGAAAAAAGTCTGTTGATTGACATCTGTGCTTACGACCACCACAAGCACACCAGCACCTTAGATTTTTGCACACGTTTGGTCCTGTTCTCTCTATGTGAGTGTATCATAAGAGAAGTCCAAAAAAAGTTTTTAAACTCTTTAGCCATGTTAAAACCTTCTAGAAAATGCTGGGCGGGTGTTGATTTATGGGTACAAACATGTTCACATTAAAAACTTGTTACTGTTTGAACTTCCTGAAAAGAGAAGCAGTTGCCTTTTAGTGAATCTAATCTTTCTCAGAAACACATTCTGGATTTTTATAACTGAGATTAAAGACTGCGTTAGAGTCTGAATATAGAGTCTGTATTCTCTGTTCAGAATACAGACCAGATCTTAACAGCCTTCTGTTTGATGATTTTCTGTCATTGAGTGATTTATACAAGTGTGGTATTCATTTATAGAAAGTACATATTTACTATAACACGTCACATTTGCTTTCAAGTTCGATATATTGATCTGAAAGTCAGAGTGATAATAATGCCATATAGAGCCGTTTAAAACTGTCTCTTGCCGCCAGTGTTTCTATGGACAACATATAGGAATATAAGGGATAATATATAAATGGGGATTCTAAATACCACATTACTTTGGACCTCTGACATTTTATTAACGGTGTAATGTCTGGTCAATCTTTGATAAATCTTTTCAAATTTCTTAAAGTGCATTTAAAAAGAACAAAGAAAACAAAATTGACATACACAAAATGAATTACAATACCCTTAAAAGCAAATACTGCCCAGAGAGACAGCTGCCTGGTGGAGGTTTGTGCTCTCGCACTGCTTCTTATTTTTCATAGATTAACCCTTTAACCCACTAACTTATGAAAAGTTATCTTTGTGTATTTGAATTTTTGGTCTGTGGATTTAAATTGAAGTTCCACCTTAAATAATAACGCACACGAAAACACAGTGTAACTTTTATTGTCTGTGTCATGTGTTGGGCTGGGTGTTTACGCCCATCTTTTTTTTACTTTCACTTTCATGAACTGTGTGGCGCAGGTGATCGTCTCCTGTGGGAAGCTCCGTGAAAGGTAAGTGAAGCACTCTGTAATGTTTTCCTTGCTAACATCAGCTGTGTACAGGTTAATTCCACCACAAACAGCACAAATTTGCCGCTCCGTTTAGTTGGAACTATGGAGCGGCTCCAGCTGGAACTGGGAAGCAGGGGCTGGGAAAGCTGGCCATTTAATGTTTGTGTACGTGCGTGACCAGCTCAGCAAAGATAAGCTGACGGTCAGCAGCTGATCTCTGAATCGTTGTTAGTGTGGATCCACTATTGATTACTGAAGGGCAGCTTTTTCTCCCGTGGAGCAAACGTTGTTGTTGTTGTTGTTTTTTGCTGATGTGGAGGAAAAGCTGTTTATATGTGCCTGTCGGCATATTTATGTAACGGAGCCGGAAGGCTGGTTTTACTTCCACAGGGGTTTCGTGCGAAGGAAGGAAACCTTCCTCCAAACGGACTGAGCAGTGGAGTCGCCAAGGGAAAGCACACGAATAAAATCTGTATAATTAAAATATAATCTATTATATTTAAATAGTTAAAAATGCAAAATGAATTAAAACAACCTTGGCCAAGGGGTAACACAATAAAAGTCAATAAAACACAATATTAAAAGTCCAGTGGCCTGCGCCACGACCTAAAAGTCCCAGGGAGCTAAGAAATCCAGCAAGTGGTATAACCAAAGGAACCAGCGGAGTCCTCGCCTCCCTCCCGCAATCACATCCCGATATGCTGAAGAAGGAGAGGAAGCGGCAGTCACTATTCTTTCCAGACAGGTTTACTTCATAAAAAAGGGATAAGTCAGAGACTTACCCCGGGTGGGCAGAGCTCTCAACTCCGCCCGCCGCTTCTTTAAAACTGGAAATCGGCACAGCCGTCTCGTAGCCTCCGCTGGTGCTGTCTCCGCTCTCTGCGCGCTGGTCCTCCTGCTGGTGCCCTGCGTCTCGAGCCTCCAGCCCGAAGCCGAGGCCCTCAGCCCCTAGCCTTCGAGCGCAGCCGTCAATCACAGCTCTACAGCCCAAGCCTTCTCTCCATATCTCTGGCTCGGCTTCTCAGTCACTCCGGTCACTCTCTTTCGTCCCTTCCGTTTCGAGCCTCCAGCCCGAAGCCGAGGCGCTCAGCCTCTGGCCTTTGAGCGCAACTCTTCAAAGCAAAGCTTTCCTTGTCATTCGTCCTCAAAAAGCGCTCCTTTCTGTCGTCTACCCAGCCCTCTTATTGGCCTCTCTGGTACCTCTCAGGTGAAATCAAGTTAGTAATCAGATAGGGGTGGAGTCTTTACAGGACAGTTGTTCAATTAAATAAGATAAAAACATGCAATAGAACTCATACAAACAAACCCAATATACAATATTAAAATATTAAACAGATAAAACATCGCAAAACATGCACAGTAAAAACTCCAAATAACTTGTCCCGTTTCACCCCGTGACATTTACACCACAGATCTGGGTGGGTTAAGCAGTGTTACAGTAGTGATATCAAGTTCAAACGTTCAGCTGGAGTGACAATAGGGGGTGGTGTTGATATCACAGGTTATAATTCAAGAGTTAGTGTGATTAAGTGAACCAGTTTGTAAAGACATAGTAACGCTACCTGCGGCTACAAATGTGTTGCTCCTCTATTCTAGGTATTACCGTACAGGTGACGGTAAACAAACAGACGATTTTAAAGCAGTGCTTTTGTAATAAGTAAAACTGCACTACAGAGACGTGATCATTTTAATTCAAATGGATAGAAAATTCTGCTCAGATTACATTATAAAATATTTTAGCACTGGAAGAAGAATTCACTGAGAGGTGACTCAAAATCCTCAGTGGGTTCTGACTCAGGCTGACTTCACATCTGTCACTGGTAACTGTCTTTTTATATTACAGCAAAGTGTTTGAAAAATTTAAATGGAAAAAAATTAAATTTATAGCTGAGCTTAATCTTACAGAGAATGATCAAAGCTCATGTAGAAACAAACAAACAAATGAACAAAAGATTTTCTCCTTCATTTCTGTCAAACAATGCTGTATGAAACGTTTCCAGCTGATCTCTGAATCGTTGTTAGTGTGGATCCACTATTGATTACTGAAGGGCAGCTTTTTCTCCCGTGAAGCAAAAGTCATTGTTGTTGTTTTTTTTCCTGCTGTGGAGGAAAAGCTTTTTATATCATGGTTGCTAGGCAACCTGGGCAGCGCGACGGAGGCTAGACCGTCCGATTTCACAAGCCTCGCACTTCCGGCCTTAGCGGTCTTTGAGTACGCCGCCCTTGTGGACCGTTAAGGCTGCGTACTTTAAGGCTGCAGACCCTGAATTGGGATACAGCCCATGACATGGATTCCTGCTTGTATGCTTGTACCATAATGTCCAGAATAGAGGAACTGCAAAATTCAAACGTACCATAATGCAAGAGGACAACATAGTGGTGAACCTGGTACTTTAAATAGTGAAGCAATGCCATTTCAGACAAGAGAAAGAATGTCAATAAACCTTAAATCTCATGCCTGTGTTGCTGACAACATCATTTTTATTAGTTTATTGATTTAAAATGAAAAAGATTTGCATGTAATCATAACCCCAAAGCTTTGACTCTGTGTCTCTTTGTTAAAGAAAAGTGGACTGTGATATACTGAAGGGATCTGATCAACTCAAACAGCTGGAGGCAATAAACACGACTTCACCTCCTGTTTGTCCGAACCAGGATTAGGCTGCATTCACTGGTGCATATCACTAATAATCTCTAACAGATCCGTGTGCCTCCAGCAAATAATGTTAGGGTTTACATGCATTACTTGCATTTAAAAAAACATAAAATTCAAACAAGAATATCAACCACATATATGCAATTTTATTAGGATAGCATGATGCTGTGCTGGTTCATGACATTGTCTCCCAATAAGAAGGTCCAGGGTTTGATCCTGCCGGACTTTCTGTGTGAAGTTTCATGTTCCTCCCACAGTCCAAAAACATGCATGTTAGGTTACTTGGTGACTCTAAGGTGCCTCTTAAACTATAGCTGCTGGGATAGGCTTTTGCCAGATCATAACACTTAATTGGATAAGCAGTAGAAAATAGATGTATGAACAATTTCCTAAACTAATTCTAGAATTCAAAACGTATCTTATCAAACTTCCTCCATGAGGGAACTTTCTTCATGTTAAAAGTGAAGCCACCAAGTGCTGCTTATTTGATCATTGGGGCTCTCTGTCTAATGTTGTCAGCACCTTAACCTGACATTGAGATACTGATTTTGTGAGCTAGCTCTATAAAAATAGCTGCTGAGATGAAGCAGAAAAGAAGCAGCTGATATTTGGAAAACAAACATGACGGAAAGGAGGATTTCTTATGATGTGCACATGAATGATTTGTGTTTCATCTGCAGGTGAAGGTAGGAAGTGATGTAGATGTGACTTAAAAGACCCCAAAATTATACAGTGAAACAACAAACAATATGGTGATCCTCTATTAGCAAAGATGGAGATTATAAAGAAACACACACTGACAGGTCAGACAGGTCAGGCAAAGGTCTGCTAAACAAGCAGAACACCACCTTCTCTCTAGTTTATGAGTTATCTGCTTCAAGGTAAACTTTTATGAGTTACACCAGGGAGTCAAACCTCTCCAATTAGCCGCTTCCTTGTCAGAGGAACAAGAGCATCAAGAGTCATATACAGTGAGGTTTTGACAATATTAACAAGATAATTGACGTCAATTAGTTGCTGTGCATTGTGTTTAGAGATGGCACTGAAGAAAATAATGGTGGAATTATTTCTTTAACATTAGTTACAGCATTTTTAGATAGACATCTGCAAAGAAAAACAATCCACAGTGCTGTGTTGTCCATTATTTTAGAATTAAGTGTCATTAACAAATAGTCAGACAAAGAGATTTTTCAGTAAATATTTCTAAATGTCCTCTTTCTACTCCGTATGTCAGGAATATGGAGGACAGAGAGGAGGGAGACCCTCCCTCTAAAACCACTCTGTGTGGGGAACATGAGAGCCAGACCAAAGCTCAGAGGTGAGATGACCATCTCTAACTGTCCATGACTCTTCTCCATGTCACAGCTCAGCACTCACATCACTGCTCCATCATTATTCACAGAAAAAAACACAGAATCAAACGCAAACCTGAAACTGGATCCAGCTGTGAGTCTGCCAAAAGTGAGATGTCAACAAATGACGATGTTAAAAGACAGTGCACCTCTGAATCTAAGTAAGCTTATATTACTTTTAGAACAGTTGTTATTAATGCAGGGATAATGTAGTTAAAGTGCTGCAAATATGTGTTCATTTTTTTTTTTGTTGCTGTCAGGATCACTCAGAGTCCAGGATTTCCTGAACCTAAACCCAGCTGTGTGTCCTTGAAGAGCAACCAGTCAAAGGGCATTGGAGAAACCTTTAAAGCGGAACTTTCTGAGATAGAGAGGTATTCTGTACCTAAAGCTGTAACTGTGTTTGAAGCTCTTTTCCCCACTAAGTGTAAAGAATCGACATGATGGGAGCCATTTATGTAGGGAAGAGTATCTGTAGGACTCCGCTCTTCCAGCAGATAATCTCCATGTGTTGTAGACTTATTACCGTAAAACAATTCTTATATTTATAGTAAAAATGTGGAACTAGATAGAAAAATGTCTTTAATTCCTAAACAGTTAACACAATACTTTAGTTAAACCTTTTAGTTTAAAGCAGAAAGTCTGCATTTCAATCACATCTTTATTGTTAGATGTAAAATCTATTTTAAATGTGTATAGACGCTACATTATGAAAAAATTGTCAATGTACAAAAGCTTACAGACCTAACTACAAGATGTCTACCATCTCAGCTTGGACACTTGACATCAAGTTGGCAGCAGCTATTAACTATCACTATAAACCATAACTTGGTTTGCAACATAACAATGACAAATGTAGAATACTGTGACCAACATGAAAATGTCTTATAATATCCTCCATCAACACAGCATGGTTGAATTATATAGGATTAAAGAACAACAACAATTTTAAAGACAGCATGTCTCTAAATCCAAGTAGGTTGATATCAGTTACTTCTAAAGTTGTTCTATTTCTTTTTCTGTCAGGATCCCTCAGAGAAAAGACTTTCCTGGACCTGAACTCAGCTGCGTGTCCTTAAAGAGCAACCAGTCCAAGGGCATTGGAGAAACGTTTAAAGCACGGCCTTCTGCTGTAAAGAGGTGATCTGATTTGTTGCAACAGTGTCTGTTGTTTTCACCCTTGACAAACACAGCAGTCAGAGTTTAAAGAATAAATGCTGTAGGAGGTGTTTCTGAAGTAAAGTGGCTATAAGACTCCAATTGGTCCAGCAGTCGATGACTGGAAGATGCTAAAAAGCTTGGTGAGCATTACACCACATGAGAAGCAGGGAAGTTCATCTTTATAGAGGTTTATGGATGATTTTGGATTGTTGCATTGAAAAATGAAAGACAGTGCGGGGGAGGCAGTCCTGGATGTTGCTACATGATGTTACCAGCATTAATTTGATTTTTAAAACTGTACCTGTAAGTCAGGAGCTCATGTCAATCTGTCTATATCGAGAAATAACAGGTATTTTTATTTATTTTATTTTTTTTGCCAGTATGGATTGATCATTTTATAATAGATACATGGTGATTTAAACATAAAAATGAGATGCAACATACCAGAAGCCAAGGGAGATGCTTTGTGTTGTTCCATTAAAAGTCTAGAAACAGCAACATATTGGAAATCATTTAAATCATTTACATAAAAATAGCACACATACTGTTGCAATCCCAGCCTAACACTGGTAAAGAGCACTCATATTTCCAGAAGTCCTTTTTATGTTCAGCATTCAAAGATGTATCTCAGCAAGAAATGCAGCCAACCTCTATTTTTCTTACTTCTAGTTATTCCTTATAGCCCAAAGTTCTTTCCCTTCACTCGTCTTTATATAGACCATATTAGCTTCAGTTTGATAAAATAGCTGTTTGCTGTAAAATTGTTTCCAATTCTTTGTTTGCTTCTGTACAAAAATCCATCCATTCAAATCATCCATTTTTCTGTGTTTGCTTCCTTTTCATTTTCAAAAGCTTCCCTTAAAATTAACTTCCCTCTCATAACAGTTTTAACTCTGCGTCACAAAATGGTGGAACTATTGTACTCTCTATGTTTTCTGCTATGAATCATTTGTTCTCCTTTTTAATTTCTCGGAATCTCTGATTGTTGAACATACCTACATTTCTTTTCCACAGAGTATTTACAGTCCTCCCATTTTGATAAAAATGAAGGCAAATTATACTGTGATCAGACAGGTTATTATCGCTTCTCACTTGTCTCTACCTTGCAGTCTTCCCATTTATGTCTGTTGTGTACTTAAACAGTCTACCATAAAGAAGACTGAGTGTAGAGATGAGTAACATGTATAACCCTTCTCTGAAGGATGGAGTTTTCTCCACATCACAGAGTAAATTTTATCTACAGGACTGTAACGTGTCATAAGAAAATGAAAAAGAAAGTTTTTCACATGACTATTTGCACTCCTGTGCAAATCAATAGTTTATAGAAACATCTTTAGCAGCAATGAGTCAAAGTCACTCTCTTCTGTATGACTTTATCAGTTCCTTACATCAGAGTGGATGAATTATGGCCCAGTCTTCTTTAATGTTGCTTCACTTCTTTGAGGCTTGTTAGTGTTAGTTTCATGTATCTGAATTGAATCTCTGTTCAAATACAAACATCACTTTATAGACCTATGTGGACAGAAATAATCTGAACAATTTTTTTTATGATTCCTCCACAGAGTGGACAAGGGGACCTCTGAGTCTCAAAGTGGTCAGTCTGTGCAGCAGCATCAAATGCATATGGACACCATATTTATGGTCTGTACATGTGAACCAACTACTTTTATATACATACCAAACAATACTGTGCCATTTTTATTTATAAAGCATGCATTTAACATGTCCCAGGCCATGGTATCTTTCCATTATGGGTTTTGCAGAAATCATGTAAAATGCGCATGTAATAAAAAAATAAACCCACACACGCTATAATCCACATAAACGATTCGCCAGTCTTTGCCAATCTGATCACCTGTCCATTGCAATTCCTACGCTGGAATATACGTCATCACATTGTCAGCATGAACTATCACATAGAATAGACTAAAAAGGTATAAAACAACTACAATGGACCAAAGGGCTGTACAGATGAACAAACACACCCATTCTCCTCACTGTCATCTCCATGCTACAGTTTGTAAACTAGCAGATTGTCAGTCAGTTCCAACACAGACACTGCATTACTTCAGTTTGATTTGGTCATTCAAACAATATTCTATTCTAGGAGCTGGAGGGTAACGTCATCACTTTTGTGAAGAATGAGTTGAAGAAGATCCAGAAGGTTCTCAGTCCGAATTATCGCGAATGCTTGAAGAGGCAAAAGGAGGATGAGGAGGTGTTGGAAGGTAGGGATGAAGAGAAGAGGAGGAGCAGCAAAGAGGCTTTTCTGAAAATCATACTGGACTTCCTGAGGAAAATGGACCAGGAGGAGCTGGCTGACCGTCTGCAGAGTAGTAAGAGGATTTCTCGTAGAATTTAAACCACTGGTTAAATGGGACATTTACCAATATCTTCATTTTATTGAAGCAACCACACTGCGAGTGAATTTTATATATATACATATATATATGTATATATATATGTATATATATATATATATATATATATATATATGTATGTATAGATATAATGAATTTCTTTATTTCTTTCATCGGTTTTGTTTTCATTTAGGAACACATGGTGTTGTTTGCCACGATCTTAAATCAACCCTGAAGAAGAAGTTCCAGTGTGTGTTTGAGGGGATCGCTAAAGCAGGAAACCCAACCCTTCTGAATCAGATCTACACAGAGCTCTACATCACAGAGGGAGGGACTACAGAGGTCAATGATGAACATGAGATCAGACAGATTGAAACAACATCCAGGAAACCAGACAGACCAGAAACAACAATCAGACAAGAAGACATCTTTAAAGCCTCACTTGGAAGAGATGAACCAATTAGAACAGTGCTGATAAAGGGAGTGGCTGGCATTGGGAAAACTGTCCTAACACAAAAGTTAATTCTGGACTGGGCTGAAGACAAAGCCAATGAGGACATTCAGTTTATATTTCCATTCAGTTTCAGAGAGCTGAATGTTCTGAAAAAGGAAAAGTTCAGCCTGGTGGAACTTGTTCATCACTTCTTTACTGAAACCAAAGAAGCAGGAATCTCCAGCTTTGAAGAGTTTAAAGTTGTGTTCATCTTTGATGGTCTGGATGAGTGTCGACTTCCTCTGGACTTCCGCAGAACTAAAGTCCTAACTGATCCTAGAAAGTCCACCTCAGTGGATGTGCTGTTAATAAACCTTATCAGGGGTAAACTACTTCCCTCTGCTCACCTCTGGATAACCACACGACCTGCAGCAGCCAGTCAGATCCCTCCTAAATATGTAGATATGGTGACAGAGGTCAGAGGTTTCACTAGATCACAGAAGGAGGAGTACTTTAGGAAGAGATTCAGAGATGAGGAACAGGCCTGCAGGATCATCTCCCACATCAAGACATCACGGAGCCTCCACATCATGTGCCACATCCCAGTCTTCTGCTGGATCACTGCTACAGTTCTGGAGGATATGCTGAAAACCAGAGAGGAAGGGGAACTGCCTGAGACCCTGACTGAGATGTACATCCACTTTCTGGTGGTTCAGGCCAAAGTGAAGAAGGTCAAGTATGATGATGGAGTTGAGACAGATCCACACTGGAGTTTGGAAAATACAAAGATTATTGAGTCTCTGGGAAAACTGGCTTTTGAGCAGCTGCAGAAGGGAAACCTGATCTTCTATGAATCAGACCTGACAGAGTGTGGCATCGATATCACAGCAGCCTCAGTGTACTCAGGAGTGTTCACACAGATCTTTAAAGAGGAGAGAGGACTGTACCAGGACAAGGTGTTCTGCTTTGTCCATCTTAGCATTCAAGAGTTTCTGGCTGCTCTTCATGTCCATCTGACTTTCATTAACTCTGGAGTCAATCTGCTGGAAGAACAACAAACAGGTACACACCTTTACCAGAGTGCTGTGGACAAGGCCTTACAAAGTCCAAATGGACACCTGGACTTGTTCCTTCGTTTCCTTCTTGGTCTGTCACTGGAGACCAATCAGAGTCTCCTACGAGGTCTGTTAAACCAAACAGGAAGTAGCTCACAGACCAATCAGGAAACAGTCCAGTACATCAAGAAGAAGATCAATGAGAATCTATCTGCAGAGAAAAACATCAACCTGCTCCATTGTCTGAATGAACTGAATGATCGTTCTCTAGTAAAAGAGATCCAACAGTACTTGAGATCAGGACGTCTCTTCACAGATAAACTGTCTCCTGCTCAGTGGTCAGCTCTGGTCTTCATCTTGCTGTCAGCAGAAGAAGATCTGAATGTGTTTGATCTGAAGAAATACTGTGTTTCAGAAGAGGCTCTACTGAGACTGCTGCCAGTGGTCAAAGCCTCCAAGAAAGCTCTGTAAGTTATTGTTAAATTGACATTATTTGAATACATTGTTCTGGTTCAGTGATGGGGGAAAAAAAACTTGCCTTCATCTTTATGTCTTTTCAGATTGAGTGAGTGTTTCCTTTCAGAAAGAAGCTGTGAAGCTCTGTCTACAGTTCTCAGCTCTCAGTCCTCTAGACTGAAACAGCTGGAACTAGGCAACAATGACCTACAACATTCAGGAGTACAGCTGTTATCAGTTGGATTGAAGAGTCAACACTGCACACTTGAAACTCTCAGGTCAGAGCAACTCACAGTTTGGTTTATGTTTTTTAGATATTTGTCTAAAGTTTCCGATTCATAAATCCCTTTAAGTTACAACAAGTACAGATCAGTGACAAAGTAATTAAAGACAAGAAGCACAGGTATTTATGCAGCAGCAACTTATGTTGCTGACAACGAATAAAGGTCTCTTGTTTGATTTAACTGACTGGCTTTGGCTAACCTCCACACCACATGCCTGCTGGACCTGCTAGTCGCTACTTCCTTGCCAGACTGCTGTTACAGTGTGTACAATGATTGTGCAAAATAAACTGTCCTATATTTCTGAAGTTCAGGTAGAAACTGTACCTGAATCTATTGGTGTGGTTGTAGATGCTTATATACTTCATACCTGATGGCAGGACCATAAAGAGTGTATGGGTGGGGTGGCTGGAATCAGAGAGGATCCGGTGGACCTTCTTCTTACAACCCTATCTGAACAGGTCCTGGATGGCTGGCAGTTCAGACCTAGTGATATGATCTGATCTGATCACCTTTCATACTTTTCTTTTTTCATCTTTTCAATTTCATTTATATAGCGCCAAATCACAACAACGGTCGCCTCAAGGCGCTTTGTATTGTACAGTAGATCGTACAATAATAGAGCCATAGAGCTTTGTGGTCCAGAGCATTACAACTGCCATACCAAATCATGATAGAGCCAGACAGAATACTCTCGATGGTGCATCAATAAAAGTTGGGGAGTTTTCAAGGGTCCATGCCAAACCTACTCAGCACACTTTTGCTGCTTTTGTGATCACATCCACGTGATGTGACCAGATCAGATCTTCAATGATGCTGATGCCCAGGAACCTGAAGCATCTGACACTCTCCCCTCAATGAAAATGGGTATGTGTCCTCCACCCTGCACTTTCCTGTAGTCCACAATGAGCTCCGAGGACTTGCATACATTGAGCAGCAGGTTGTTGTACAATACTATGATGTCAGGGCTCTCACCTCTGCTCTGTAAGCAGACTCGTCTCCATCAAAAATTTTGTACAATATCTTTTCAGGATGAACGGCTGTAACCTCTCAGAAAGAAGCTGTGAAAGTCTGTCCTCAGTTCTTAGTTTCCAGTTCTCCAGTGTGAGAGACCTGGATTTGAGTAACAACGACCTGCAGGATTCAGGAGTGACACTCCTGTCAGCTGGACTGCAGAGTCCACACTGCAAACTGGAAGCTCTAAGGTCAGGGTTCATCACACTGTTAAACTCATGAACTCAAAATTACATTGTTTTAATTGTTTGGATTTCATATTCACTTTACTCAACCATCGGTGTTTATGTGTTCTGTGATGTGCTTGCAAAAGTGAACGGGTACCCTGAAGGCCATATGCTGCAATTAGTATCCAGTACACAATAATACTATTTAGCTGTGCATGGGCATTGTTAGTGACACTTCAGAAACAGAAAATGTAGCTTAGACTTACTAATGAAAACCAGTCCTTATGAACATTTGAAAGGGTTTTAAATACAAATGATCACATATTTGAGATCTGTTAATCAGCAAGTAAGAATGTGAGTCAACATTTATTATAGGGCTAAATTCCATTTGCGTGTCTATCTGTTCAAGCTTTCCATTTGACTGGAAAAATAAATATTAAACATATCCTTCCATCACTTACTGAAAAGTTTGGTTCTAAACTGTCAGTATTGGGGAATACCGGCGTTACGTATTTAAAATACAAAATATGAGTAACTGTATTCCATTACAGTTAACGTTTAAAAAGGTGGTATTCAGAATACAGTTACTGAAATAAATGGATTACATGGCGGTATTCTCCTGTTTCATATGTTAGGCTATGCCCTCTCTAATTCTGGTAATTCCATGCCGGTCGAAACGCAAACAAAACATGCATTAAGAGGCTCTAATGCCTGTGTCTCAATCTCGCAGTATGTCACCCATACTTGTGGCCCGCATAATGACGTGAAGAAATATTTTTAAAAATGATTACTCAAAAGATTATTTAATGTGAAGGCAATAGGCAGAGTGTTACAGGCATAGCCCTAAACTAAAATGTGGACCAAGTACCAGTTTTTATAAATTCTTCCCCACTTGTGGTGTTTTGTGTGTCTCACAGTCTGTCAGGCTGTCTGGTTACAGAGAAAGGCTGTGATTCCCTTACATCAGCTGTAACCGCCAACACTACTCATCTGAGAGTGCTGGACCTGAGCTACAATCATCCTGGAGAGACAGGAGTGAATCTCCTGAAGCAGCTGACTCTGGAGACTCTCAGGTATGGAGTGACTGGCTGCAGCCATGTACAATGTTGATAGAGGAAAAAGGAGTGGAAACTTTTTCTTTGTCCTTCACTAAGTGCTGGTAGTTTTTTCTCCTTTTCTTGAAGCCAGAATATGAACTTTATATGAACAATCACACATATAGGACCTGTTTTACATGCAGGGGATTTCTCAGAAGAACACCTGGGACATTAATTCTGTGCCTAATTTACTGTTTCATGATTTCCCATTAGTAAATTATTTAACACACACAACATATTGGTTTACATATTATTTATGCTGAAAGAGACTGTGCTGGTCTGACCCCCCTCCTTCTCTCAGGGTGGAGCCTGCTGGAGTCCAATGGTTGACACCAGGTCTGAGGAAGTGTAAGTGTGTTTTTAATGTGATTCATGAAAACAAAGCAGCACACATTCAACCATCTTCAAACTGTCACATCACTCATTCACATCTCTGATGTCAGGACTCATCATCAAAGTGTCAATCAATGAACAGATGATGGATCAATAACTGCAGCTGGATTGTGTTTGTTCTCTCCATCAGATTCCTGTCAACTCACAATCGACACAAACACAGTGCACACAAACCTCAAACTGTCTGACAACAACAGGAAGGTGACACATGTGGAGGAGGTTCAGTCATATCCTGATCATCCAGACAGATTTGATGACCGTCCTCAGCTGCTGTGCAGAGATGGTCTGACTGGTCGCTGCTACTGGGAGGTCGAGTGGAGAGGCAGGGTTGACATTTCAGTGAGTTACGGAGGAATCAGAAGGAAAGGAGACAGTATTAGTTGTTTGTTTGGTGGAAATGATCAGTCCTGGAGTCTGAGCTGCTCTGAAAATCGTTATTTTGTCTGGCACAATAACCAAAAGACATGTTTTTCTTCATCCTCCTCCTCTGTCTCTAACAGAGTAGGAGTGTATGTGGACTGTCCTGCTGGCACACTGTCCTTCTACAGAGTCTCCTCTGACACTCTGATCCACCTCCACACCTTCAACACCACATTCACTGAACCTCTTTATGCTGGGTTTGCGTTCAGGCCTGTTTCTTCATTGTGTTTGTGTAAATCTGTAGAATCAGAGATTTTCCAGGCAAACAGAAACTGTTGAACAGATAATGCAGTCTGTACGTGTCTGTCACTTTCCTTGTAAACTTTGTCTCTTTAGTCCTTTAACGATGAAAGTTACAATTATTCCAGCATCCACATGTTGTTTTTCTGTCCTCCTCCTCCACTCACAGCTTTATAGTGAAATATGCTGTGTTTCTCTAAACTTAACTCACCTGAGATGATTTAGTTTGCTGTTCGCAGTTAGTTTGCTGTACATGAGACAAACTGTGATATCAGGGAGGAATCACTGAGCTACACAAACCCAGAAGATGAATTTACAAACTCTTCAGAGACATTCACACATAATTTTTCAGTGAACAAAAGTGTAGAGACCAGCCGGGGTTTATCCAGATTTTATTCATAATTAATGACTTAAATGAACGTGTGTGTGTGTGTGTGTGTGTGTGTGTGTGTGTGTGTGTGTGTGTGTGTGTGTTGCCGTCTGTGATGTGATGATATTTATCTGACATTTCATAGAAGCAAAAAATGAATTTCCTAAAGGAGAATAAACACTAATAACTAACGCTGCATTGCTCTAAAGCTAAGACACAGTTTTTTATGACACAGTTTTATGGCTGTATTTATGATCAGCATTGTCGTACATATCGAAGCAGGAAGATGTTGATTGATTCCTGCAACCTGAATAAACTTGCGTTGTTGCATCAGTTTCTGTTTTATTATATCAGTGATATGGATGATCAACCGTGCTGATTTTATTAAATGCATGTTAATATTAATGTCCAGTGACCTTCAAGCAACTGCTATAACTACTGTAGTTTTCTTATTTGTTATGCTTAATTTGTCCACTGGGTCAGTCTGTAGAGGGTAGTGTCTCTCCTCAGTGTAAAACATTATCGCAGACCTTATAACAATGTTTCGTTCTTCAAAGAGACCCAAAACTGCACTTCTGCCACTGAAAACACTAGCATGAACATTCACCCTTCCCTTAGCTGTTAATCAGAGGTTGGTTATAAGGAACAGCTGTCATCTACTCTTGAGCTCTGGCAACTCATTCCTGTTCAAGGTGGCAAAGATTAAAGGTTGTTGTTAAGTATTGCAGACTGGATTCATTTCTCCTGGCAACTGCTTAATCTGTATAACCATTAAAGGGTGGCCTAAACACTGCTGCTGTCTTGTTGTAGCTTTGCTGTCATTTACTACTGGCATTGGCTGGTTCCTTGTTTTATACTGTTTTAGTGTTAATTGTTTGTTATATTTTAATCATGCTTTTAAAGGAGTTGCATTTTAGGGTGTTTGAATTCGTTCTTGTTTCTTTTATATCTCGTTTACTGAGTTGTTTTGTGTTTTATATGTCACAATATATAGTTGTTGTTTTTTGTTCTGTTTTTATTTTTTGATTTTGCTTTAGTGGAGGCATGGCTGCTTGTTGTGGAGGCTAGGGATATGTGGTGGAATTCCCTCTGATGCATGTGAGCAGTAGCAGTTTTTGATACGGGCAGGGCCCCCATCTGATTGTGCTGAGAAACGGTAACGTTCGCACAGAAACTCATCAGGAAATGATAAAATGTCCAAACGCGATCTGATCACTCTCTCCCGGCGGAGAGCTCTGCGGAGAATTTGGGCTTCACGATCTACTGGCTCTTCAAGGAAGGGGCACGCCATGTCCGACACTTCCTACTGTCAGGTTTCCGACAAAGGGGCGGAGACAGTCAGGGTTAGTTGTAGTAAACCTGCTAGGGGGCAGGTTAGCTTCACGGAGTGTGTCGTCATAGTGACTCACTCAGGCTTCAGCTGAACTCGCTTTGTGAAACCGAAAACCCAGAGTTTTCGTTAACTCAGGGTATACTTACTCAGTTTTTC